CTCCGCCCTCCGCCCTCCGCCCTCCTCCTCCTCCTCCTCCTCCTCCTCCTCCTCCTCCTTTTCCTCATCCTGCGGGATCCTGCAGGATCCTGCGACCAAGCCCGGGTCCGTGCGACCCTGGCCCTGCAGGATCCTGCAAGATCGGGCGCTCTGGCTGGCCTCAAGTCGGGCGTGTCCCCCATACAGGGGAAGTTTGGGCGAGACCGAAAAATCAGAAAATACCCCTTCCAAATTGGCAAACGTAGTCACAACAAAATCGTCCCAAGACTGTTGTCCTACTATTTCTGAGTATTCCCCCTGTAGTCGGGAGCGGCCAAGAGGGGGGTGTCCAAGAGGGGGGGTGCAAATCATGACCGGCGGCATGGGCGCGGCCCAGCGGGGGGGCCAGGGACGTAATGAAATGAGAGGAGGCGCCATGAGATCAGGGGAGATATCGCCCCCGCCATGATATCCACCCCCCCCTAGTCATCACCCCGCTTGCACTGACACCCGTCTCTGGAGCCCCGAAGACCTCGGCGAGGCGCTGCACCGTGAGCTCGTGCGCCCTCGCCTCGCCCCAGGCCGCGGCGGCGCGCCCGGGGGGGGGGGGGGCGCCTCCTCCTCCTCCTCCGCCTCCTCCTCCTCCTCCTTCTCCTCCTCGTCCTCGGGCGGGGCTCGCGGGGGGCCGGAAGCCGGGACGAGGATCACTTCCGCCGAGGATGCGTCTTTGATCTAAGGACACGCAAATAGATCGACACACGTCTCAAGATTCCTCATATTTTCCATGTTTTCTGGGATTGCGTCTTCCCCCCACTGCCTAGATGTTCCCGCATTTTCCGGGGCATCGGGGATCAACTGTGCCTGTGTGTCTTTTCACATCCTAAGTCTTGGGCCCTTCTCGGGCCCCAGAGGCTCCCTTCTGGGCCCGAAAGGGCCCCTTTGGGGGCCCTCAAGGCCTCTTTTCGGCAGCCCTCGCTTCCCCCATATTTATCGCCCGCCCATTACACGTCCTCCGAAAATCGAGAATCTCTGAGATCCAGCGGATCTGAAGGATGTCTTTGGCGACACGGCCATCTCAGAGCGTTCTGGGGAACGCTCTGGGAGTGCTCCAGACCGCTCTGGAACAGCTTTATCCTTGTCCTAGCCCCATCCGAGGGGCGGCCCTCTGTAGAGAACGGGAACTCCACCCCTCAATCATACGCAAGCGCCTCGACCGCGGTGTGGATCCGCGCCGCTGCGACTTCAGCGCCAACGTGTGCTTCTCAAGCGAAGCCCTTCAACACTAGAGGCCTCCCAGATGGGGTCAGGCAGAGCAGATGGGGTCGGAGGATCGCGCCGCATCGTCGCTGCATCGCCGCTGCATCGGCGACGTCGGCGATGCATCTACGAGGTTGGCGTGGACAAAGTCGGGCTCCACATCGAGTCACATCGAACCGCATGCATCGGCGATGCGGCGCGATCTGCCGACCCCACCTGCTCGGATATCATCTGCGAGGCCTCGAACTGCGATGCGGATGGTGCAGCGAAGGCCGACACAAGGCGCGCTGGAGCTGAACAGAGGAACCTACTGTAGGTTTTCGCCGGCGGCGAGGCAGAAGCAGTCCGCACCAACGTGTGGCGTTTCGGGGCAACCAGAAAGGCGAATGGGCCGGCGGGCAAGAGGCGGAGGGGGGGGAGAAAGACGAGAGCGGCCACGCGTGGGGAGGGGAGGAGGGGAGAGCGCTCCGACGTGGAAGAGTTCCGCGTCGAGGGGGCTGGAGCGGCCGACCGAGGCAGCGGGTGCAGTGGCAGCAGCCGGGGCCCAGGCCAGGGCGCACCCACGAGCGCTGCGAGGGGCATTGGGCGAACACGCGTCCTGAGGACCATCGGCTCCGAGAAGGAGCAAGGGGGCCTTCGAAGAATCACCGGGGGCCTGCTGGAGGCCCTCCCGGCTTCCGGGAGGCCTACCCTAGATTGGCGACGCTTCGGCCGATTGCCCCTAACAATGCTTTGACGCAAATCTGAAGTCCTCCCCTCGATGGATTCGTTGAAAAGAGACATGCGTCCGGCCCGTATCAGAAGGATGCGCGGTAAGGAAGCCAGGGCCTTGGACGCTCATGTTTAAGCTTTTCGAGCGGGGCGCCGCCAATGAATGTGGCCAAGGAAGGACCGAGGAGGCAAGGATGCAAGGGTACCCTTTGGAAGGTTGCCCATCCTTACTATGCGGGTGGACGGTAGACAGGAGCAGAAGAAATCCGCGCGCACCTCCAAACGTTCACGTTTACTCGTCTCCTTTGGGACGCAGAAGAACGTCTCCAGGCCCACTCGTGTCGCGCGAAAACCACGACGGACTTTCTGTTTTTTTCCAAACCTTCCTTGGTTGGGACATCGTTTTGAATAAAGCACTGCGGTCGCGTCCTCCTCCCGCCTCCCGCCTCCCGTCTCCTCGAGGGCTGCTGGTGGGTTCAACGGAGTGGGGCACCGCGCAGATCTGATCGAGACCTCGCCGTCCCTGGGGGGCTGCGATCGGCGAAACTGCCGCCGCTTTTGAGGGCTGCTGGTGGGTCCACCGGACTGAGGCACCGCGCAGATATGAGGGGGCTGCGGTTTGCGAATCTGTCGCCACTGTCGAAGGCTGCTGGTGGGTCCAGCGGAGTGAGGCACCGCGCAGATCTGAGCGAAACCTCCCCGTCCCTCAGGGGGCTGCGGTATTCGAAACTGTAGCCACTTCCGAGGGCTGGTGGTGGTCCAGCAGAGTGGGGCACCGCGCGGATCTGAGCGAGACCTCGCCGTCCCTGGGGGGCTGCGATCTGCGAAACTATCGCCACTTTCGAGGGCTGCTGGTGGGTCCAGCGGAGTGAGGCACCGCGCAGATCTGAGCGAAACTTTCCCTTCCTTGGGTGTGCTGCGATCGGCGAATCTGTCGCCACTTTCGAAGGCTGCTGGTGGGTCCAGCGGAGTGAGGCACCGCGCAGATCTGAACGAGACCTCGCCGTCCCTGGGTGTGCTGCGATCTGCGAAACTGTCGCCACTTCGGAGGGCTGCTGTGGGTCCAGCAGAGTGGGGCACCGCGCAGATCTGAGCGAGACCTCGCCGTCCCTAGGGGGCTGCGATCGGCGAATCTGTTGCCACTCTCGAAGGCTGCTGGTGGGTCCACCGGAGTGAGGCACCGCGCGGGCCTGAGCGGGACCTTCCAGTCGCTGGGGGGCTGCGATCGGCGAAACTGTCGCCACTTTCGAGTACTGCTAGTGGGTCCAGCGGGGTGAGGCACCACGCAGATCAGAGCGAAACCTCCCCGTCCCCGGGTGGGCTGCAATCTGCGAAACCGTCGACACGTTCGAGGGCTGCTGGTGGGTGCAGCGGAGTGAGGCACCGCGCAGATCTGAGCAAGACCTCGCCGTCCCTGGGGGGCTGCGATCTGCGAAACTGTCGCCACTTTCGAGGGCTGTTGGTGGGTGCAGCGAAGTGAGGCACCGCGCAGATCTGAGCGAGACCTCCCGGTCCCTGGGGGTCTGCGATCGGCGAAACTGTCGCCACTCTCGAAGGCTGCTGGTGGGTCCAGCGGGGTGAGGCACCGCGCGGATCTGAACGAGACCTCCCCGTCCCAGGGGGGCTGCGGACTGCGACACTGTCGCCACTCTCGAGGGCTGCTGGTGGGCCCAGCGGAGTGAGGCACCGCGCGGATCTGAGCGAGACCTCCCCGTCCCTGGGGGGCTGCGATCTGCGAATCTATCGCCACTTTCGAGGGCTGCGGGTGCGCTCGCCATGTTCGAAGGCTGCTGGTGAGTCCAGCGGAGTGATGCAATGCGCAGACGTGAGCGGGACCTCGCCGTCCCTGGGAGGCCATGTCATGTTGTTGCTGCCCCGCCGACGTTTCAAGCCCCTGCCCCACCGTCTCCTTTTGGACCTTGCGTCGTCCTCAGTGACTCAAGGGTTCACTCACTAACTCATAGTTTTCCCTTGATTGGGGACCTGCGAACCTTCCGAATGCCGTTCGCAGAAGTATATGCGTCCATGTCACGTCGCCGCCTTCTCGTCAAATCTCCCAAGCTACTCCTGCCCCGCATTGCGCAGGGCTCCTCATGGGGCCACCAGACGTGTGAGGGTGTACCGAGGCGCAGAACCGCATGACGGCCCTGCCGCGGGGGCTTCGGTGAACTCCGCATGGTGCCACGAAACGTGCGAGAGGTGTGCCGAAGCGGGCGTGAAGCCCACATGTGGACGGCGCGGTTGGGGCCTTCGGTGGAGCCGCCTGTATGGGGCCACCAAGCGTGATTGGGGTGTCGAAATTGGCGTGGCGCCCACACGTGGACTCTGCCTCTGGGGCCCTAGGTGGCCCACGAAGCGTGCGAGGGCTGGGCGTGATGCCGACATGTGGACGGTGCCTCTGGTGCCTTCGGTGAATCTCCCTGCGGTGCCGCAGAGCGCGTCAAAATGCGCATGCGGAGGGCAGGGGCAAGGATGGGGAGGCTGGGAAAAGAGAGGAGAGGAAGAGCGGATGAGACCCAAGGCGCTGCTAATGCAAAACGAAGACCAACACCGAAGACCCAACACCACAAAATGGTTGGGGAAAACGACTCAAGATGAAAAGCCGGTCCCTGAGAAGGGGTCCAGACCTCTTAGGGTCAAGGTTATTCCCCAAGCAATGCTTGCACGGAAGGGTCCAAGCGGCGATTGAAAGATTTGGCGACAACGCCAAACCGATTTCGGTGGGCGGCCGGGTTCCCAGGTTCCCGCTTCTGGGTTCCCAGGTTCCTGGTTGCTTGTTCTGGACCGATTTCGGTGGGCGGTAGGGCTCCTG